CGCCCGTCCCTAACGCGCTACAAAACGGCCCACGCCTGAAAAGGTACAGGTACTACTTTGGGCCGTTTTGTTGCGCGTTTCCATTGGGATACAGCCAAGTAGCCATCGGAAACGCGCGACGGTCACGCGACTTTTTTTACCGCGAATCGCAGTAAAAAACGCGCGACGGTCGCGCATATGCAATACGCCTAGGTGTGAACGAGACCTTAGGGTTGGTGCAGACTTGGGGATTCCCAGGACGTGTGATCGTGTGCGGTTGCATACAGCGGTTGCATCCGCATGTATGGGGTTATATCTGCGTGGCAATCACTGAAAAAAAAGGTAGATGTCATGAAAATAGGTACATGCACCGCGCAGGGTTTTCAACCATGATCGTGTGGGATCGCCCGGGCGGTAATGCAGGAGGAAAACACGCAATCTGCCTGGCACGACTGGGGTGCCATTAGAAAATAATGGCACTGACAGCACGATCGGCGGTGGTGTGCAGATTGCGCGTTTTCCTGCTGCAATACCGCCGTCTGCCTGGTACGATGGTATGGTATGCAATCCGTGACTGCCTGGTCATCGTGCACGAAACCGAGTGGATGGCTGGATGGTCACGGAATCGCACACCACCGCTGATCGTGCTGTCAGTGCCATTATTTTCTAATGGCACCCCGGTCGTGCCAGGCAGATTGCGCGTTTTCCTGCGCGTTTTCCTGCTGCAATACCACCCTGCCCGTGCGGTTGCACACGATTGCAGTTGAAAACACTGCGCGTTTATACACATGCAGATGAGGGCAGCGGGGCTGGTTTTCATTTTTTAAATTTTTATTTACTTTGTAACATTGTTTCATTTGTTTTATTACTTTTACTTAATCGCCTTTTTATTTTTTACCTTTTTATTTAGTTACATTTTTAATTATTATTTTTTAACCTTTTTTTTTTAAACATAACTGTATTGCTATCACACAGTGAATAATAATCCCCTGTGTGATAGCATTTGGAGGTGACAGGTACTCTTTATTGACCCTGTCACCTCCAAAACAGGAGTTCTAGCACAGCACTGTGCTAGAACTCCTGTGACAGGAACAAGCAGCAGCCGCCGGCGACAGAGGCTGAGGGAGGTGACAGAGCCTGTCACAGCTCCACCGTCCGTCTTTGTCACTGCCCCGTCACGGCTCCACGCCCTCCGTCCCCGCTCTCATCTCTCCATCCACGCCCCCCACTCGCAGCGCCGCTCATTTCGTAAAAGAAAACCAGCCCTGCTACTTGTCCATAGCAGGGCTAAAACAGCGGAAAAAAACTTGCCGGCACCCGGAACTACATGTCCCGGGCATCGGGCGATACGAATTCCACACCCCTGATGTCTAATTGCAAAATGGTAGCTTTAGTGACCTACTGACAGGATCCCAAATTATACCATAGAATACAGGGAAAGGCGAGTGGCATAACAATGACATCACATCCAAGGAAAGTTTAAATAATTCCATATAGCAATCCCAATGATTAGCAGAGGCACAAGAGTATGACTGCTTAAAGTATAAATAGAGCTATTGTTACTAACCTCCTCCTGGCCATCATGCTGTCACTTTGGGGTCTATTTAGAAACAATTTGCAGGGCCCTTCACCCTGGGAATATCTGGTAAGGTTTGTTTTTGGCATTATTTGCTCAAAATAAATCAATCATTCACAGATATCCAGAGGCTAAAGGGCCCTGCAAATTGTTTATAAACACAACCTTTTTGGCTTCAATATTGTCAGCCAGCCAACAGGCAACTCCAAAAGAAGACGGCAGCCTGCATGTCTCTCTCATGTTTCCTTTAGCCCTGGTTTACACCTAGGCGGCACCGTTTTCGTGCATTTGTACGCGCATTAGCAGCATGCGGTTATTTGCGCGTTTGTATGTGTGTTTTAACGCACTTACATGGACACGTTTTGATTGGCAGCTCATAAACCATTGTGGGCAATGGAAGAACGCACATATAAATGCGCAAGAACGTTCACGAAAATGTGCAACATGATTCTGTTGCGTGTTTTTGGGCATTTCCAATGAAGTCTATGAGGAGGGAAAGCGCTTTTAACTGCCCAAAGAAGCTCCTGTATCTTTTCAGGCATTTTCCTGCTCAGATGTGAACCAGAGCCATTGAAAAATCATGGCATTTCTTGTGTTGGGCAGTTAAAAGCGCTTTTCCAACTGCTCAAAAACTCCTAGGTGTGAACCAGGGCTTAATTTTGCTGCATGGTAGGCTCACAAGTAGAAGTCCATTATTGTATTAATGTAAATCGATGGGAGAGCCCTCCGCACACCTCGCAGCAGTCCCGGCCAACAAGAGAGATGGTGCTTGTAGTGATAACCACGGATGAAAGACGTGACGTCTTTCTGCCTTGAGGAAGGGACCCTGCGCGATCCCGAAACGTCGGCTTTTTTGATCACTGTGACGTCGTTGTCCAATAAAAGGGACATTCAACTTTACCGCTGAGTGCTGGTGATCTGCTTCTTTGTTCATTATTGTATTAACACATCACCCCCCAGGCCCCCACCACCACACACTTTTTGTAGTCAATGTTTAGTAGAGCTAAAAAGGAATCGATTCTGGAAAAAAAATAAACAGCCAAAAACCAAAAAAAAAAAAAAAAAAAAGAAGACATTATGATCCTAGTCACCACCGTGAAAAAACAAAATTGTGTTATTAAACCCCCAAGCTACACCAGAAAACAAACCTTACCTTGATAGTAACATTGCCTTTTGTAACTTTTCTCATGTTGAAGCCAACAGTGGGAATCATGTCTTCTGTGAACTGACCTGACTGCAAGAAAAAAAAAAAAAACAAATTATTTTCTTGTTCAAAAAAAAAAAAAAAAAGGAGACGAAAGAAGCAGAGGTACTATAATAAACCTAATTTATTAAAACATATATAAAAATGAAGTAATGCCATTTGATTCTACATTAAGTAACTGGAAAAATGTATGGCTACTATGAATCACCTTTAGGAAGAATTTTCCATGCATTCCATGGTCCCCAGTATATTAGAAAAACCACTGCGCACTTTTTTTTTGTTTATGCTGCCAAAGCTTTAAACTAGGGGTGGGTAACTCCATCAGCTGTGGAAATACAAGTCCCATGAGGCAGTGCAAGACAAAGTTATAGGCACGACTCCCAGAGATAGAGGCATGTTGGGATTTGTAGTTAAATCACAGCTGGAGGGCCGAAGTTGCCCACCCCTGTTGTAGAACATGTGCAGCCTTTCCAAAGCTTGTCAGAAAATCTCCTAGGGAAGCAACTTCCCCCTGGATCCTACTAAGATGGCAGAATGCCCTGGACGTTGGAAGCATACCCCCCTGCACCACAGAAACTAGAATTCTGGTTGAGTCATAACTAGGGATGCACCAATACCATTTTTTGCACCGATACGTTCCCTCAAGTACTTGCCGATACCAATAAAAAATGTTTTGGTGTCATGCGACAGTTTTTCTAAAACAATACAGACTAATGATTTTAGGACAGGGGTGGAGTGCCAGGGCCCAGTCACAGCTGCAACCCTGGTAGTTCTGCCACCGACTCCAAATCTCAGCAATGCCAAATGGCAACTGGCAAATGCAGAATAATATGAAGCTACATACTCTGTGCTGCTCTGGGGTACCGGCCTAATGTCTCCAGCAGAGGATCCCAGGAGTACCGCGCTGGATCTCACGAGGCCGTGCGGAGTCTATGGTGGGCTCTGCAGGATCTCACCAGGGTTCCAGGTCAGTCACGCAGTCGGAGTGTGGGCAGCGTGGAGGAAACAGGCACCGGGATTCACAGGAAGCCTGCTGGGATTTTGCTGGGGACCTCAGCAGCTTTTCAGTGAAGCTTGGCGCCTGTTTACAGTGTCAGCGCTTAGTATCAGGGCATTTTCACGAACACGAGTACTCGTAAAAATGCCCAGTATTGGCACCGATACTGGTGTCGGTATCTGTGCACCCCTAGTCACAACGCGCTCACTGCATGGGTTTTGAATGAGCCATAGAACTAATCGCTGCTGGGGGCACGGAGGAGTCGCATACCTAGGTGTTTTTCTGACACGCTTTTAGGAGAGCCTACAGGTATGCGATTCAAAAGCAGCCTCTATTTAAAACATACGTGTGCAGTGTTTCCTACTGTACTGGGGACCATGGAATGCATGGAACTAGGGCTGCAGCTAACAATTATCTTAATAATCTGTTAGCCCATTATTAACTTTGATTAATCGACTAATCGGATAAAAAAAAAAAAAATGTAAACACCATCATTTATTTAAAATAAGATACACAAAGGAAGAGTTGCAGACAAAGTTTACTTCAGAATAAAATAGGCAGGCTGGCTATTGTACCCGCCCCACTGCCTGCTATCAAGCCCATTTGTTTAAATCACACCGCACTAGAATGCAGGGCATTGCAGTACCGTGCGTTTGTGCAGGCGATCACAATGCAGACAGGAGGTGCATTTGGGATCCATTGAAATGAATGGCACCGCAGCAAAATTTGTCAGGCTGAAATGGAGAGAGATATATATATATATATAATTGCCCCACTGTATATAAATAAAAGTTCTCCATCAGGTCCTCCCCAGCTGATTGACAGCAGACAGGTGCAATAGCCAGCCTGCTATTGGCCATTTCCTTTAAAATATTCAATATGAGGCTGGGTATGGCTCCCAACCTCTAGCTACAGAGGAGGAACGCAGAGGCACGGGGCAGGGCTAAAGCAGCACGGGGCGGGGCTGAGGAGACATGGGCTGAGGAAGGAGAGACGGAGCGGCCGCTGAGGATTGCAGAGTCACAGCGGTCTCTCCTCCCTGTTGGTTCCGACTGCAGTGGTCTGTGTCCCTGTTGCCTCTGCCGATACAGGTGGGGAGAGCAGCGGGGATTGAAAGGGACACAGACCGCTGCAGCCAGCACCAGCTGGGAGGAGAATGGAGGAGCAGAGCGGCAGCAACAACTAATCAAAAAAGCAACTAATCGATTATGAGAATCGTTGCAAACGATTCTCATTATCAATTATAATGGATTTAATTAATACGTTGTTGCAGCCCCACATGGAAAGTTATTTCCCTAAGGTGAACTCACCCTTTAGAATGCCAATAAACCGCTCAAATGTCAGCTGTTTACTGAATTGGCCAACATTTGAGCTGCGGGTGGCCCTGTTGGCACCACTGGCATGACAAAAACCAACTGCACAATTGAAGGACCTGGGTGCAAATTAGCAAATCCATTCATGGTTTGGGTATTCAGCAGTGGTGAGTCCAGGAAGGGAAGATTCACCCACACTGTTTAGCGGGGGGATTGATTCATCTCATTAAGGTGTAGGCAGGCTTTGGAGCAGTGGGTCCCAGAAAGAGACAGTAAAGGAAATTGCTGATTGACAGCATCAATCCTATTCTAGAAACTAGGGAAGCACCAAAACTAGTACTCACCCAAATGCTCCTGATGCCTATCCACATACCAGAACTTCCGGTATTAGGAAGCCGGGCGGCGAGATCTTACACGCTACCCCCCGGCTTCCTAAATGGCCGGGAAGCCGGCCCCATGCTCCCTCATCACCAGTCAGGAGTCACTACAGGCCGCACAGCTTCCCGGGACTTCCAGAATCGGTATTGACAAGTACCAAAAAGAAAAAATATCACAAGAAGTGAAGCATAACATACAAAATACCTACATAAACCAATAACTTCACTTTTCTGAAAATAGACCAGCACAAGGGGGATTCCTCATGTTTTGCAGGTTAAAGTGCATGTCAAGTCAAACGTTTTCTCTTGGGACAGAGTGGGGAAGGATTAGGATCATACAATCGACCATTTAATTCAATTAAACTGATCGAATTGATTCAAAATTCAGAAACCACAGACCCTCTGTATAACGATTTAGTGAGCACTTAACCAGTTTCCAAGTTGATTCTGATAAAATATCTGTCAGAGAACCAAATTAGAAAGCAGATGGATTACACGTTGTGATTTACAAATCATAGATTGTATTTTCAGCGGATCAAAGTGTAAAACAATACCATGGGGGGGGGGGGGGGG